AAGACCAATAAGGAGTTGGATTTATATGGTAGAGTCGTGCTGATAACGTGTTATAAAATATGATCAAATAACAAGATAAATTATAGAGTAAAGAAAGACATGAGAGTAGAGAGAACTTTTATTCCAATACTTGTGAAGAAATTATCAAACTTTACAATACATAATATTCACTATTTATACTAAACAAAGAAGATGAAAGGTCATGTATGATATGAATGCACATTATAGTGGTGCATAACTACACTCATAAAACTCATAATAATGTTTGTTATAATGTTCACTAATTATGGAAAATGTTTAAAATCATCAATTGGAGATTTATTTATAGCTATATTTGATGCTTATTGTTTTGATGAATCATATTTTCCAACATTAGGGGGAGAAATAAAGAAGCTGGAAAATAAAATCTCTTGAAAGGATTTGTCACTTTCAGTTTTAGATCCTCGTTCAAGTTAATGTGAACTTGAAATAACAATGATAATTCATTTACTAAATGTAGCAAATCAATTGCCAGAAGCATTTACTGACCCTAAGTGGGTAACAAAGTCTCATGTACCAACTATACTTACTCAAGTCAGAATTGATATCCCAGAAGGAAGAAAAAAAATACAACTGCAAATGAATCTTAGGCACGCCTGAAGCGTGGAAGATCAGCCGGTTCCAAAGATAAAAATCCTCGAAAATGAAATGAAGCAAATACAATTGATGGTCCAAAAGAGAAAACAGAATCTTTTGAAAAGATTAATGAAGCTCTAGAAAAGCCTAATGACATAACAAAAGAAAATAAGGTACCTGAAAAAAATGAAAATGATGAGATCTCAATAAATTATGTCATAACAAGAATAAGATGGAACCGAAATAAGATAGATGTCGACGATAATTTTTCATATCATCTTCTGCGCGCGATTATAATGAAAATGAGGATCTTGAACCTAAATCTATTGAGTAATGTATGAATAAAAAATATTGGCCAAAATGGAAAGATGAAATAAATAAAGAGCTTAATTCTATTACTCAACGAAAAGTTTTTGGACTTGTAGTCCGTACACCAAACATAGTAAGAACAGTGGGACACGAATGAGTATTTGTGCGCAAAAGAAACGAGAAAAATGAAGTTGTGAGATATAAAGCAATACTTGTTGCACAAGGTTTTACCTCAAGACCCAAAATCGATTATGAAGAAATGTATTATCTGGTAGTTGATTCAATTACATTCAGTTATTTTATAAGTTTAACAACATATGCAAAACCGGAGATGTGTCTAATGGATGTATTTACCGCTTATTTATATGGTTCACTTGAAAATGATATTTATATGAAAATCACAGAAGGGTTTAAGGTGCCAGAAGCACAAACTTCTAACTCTCGTGAAGTATATTTTGTAAAATTAAATAAATCTTTGTATAGATTGAAACAATCTGGCCGTATGTGCTTCAATTGTTTTATTACATTTCTGTTGAAAGAGTTCTATAAAAATGATCCATCAAGCTCATGTGTATTCATAAAAAGATTCATATAAGAATTTATCATAATTGATGTTATTGTAGATGATTTGAACATAATTGGAACTCCTAGAGAATTGGAAAAAGGTCACTTCTTGTTTGAAAGAAACTTTTGAAATGAATGATCTTGGTAAGATGAAATTCTATTTGGGTCTTCAAATTAAGCACAAAAAAATGGAGCTTTCGTACATTAATATCTAGAAAAGGTGCTAAAAAGGTTTTATATGAATAACTCACATACATGAGTAACCCGAAGGTGGTAAGGCACTTAGATGCCAAAAAGGACCAATTTCAGCATCATAAAAAGCATGCAAATCTTCTTGTTCCCGAAGAACTATATCTTAGTGCTATTGGTGCACTAATATATCTTACTACTAATACAAGACCTGATAAATCTTTTGTCGTAAACTTATTAGCAAGATATAGTACTTGTCCAACAAGAAGATATTGGAATAGAGTCAAACACATTCTTTGATATCTTCGAGGTACAATGGATATGAATTTATAATAATCAAATTCATAAAATGTGAAGTTAATTAGTTATCCAGATGTTGGATATTTATCTGATCCACACAAATCTCGATCCCAAACTGGTTATTTATTCACTTGTGGAGGTAACACAATTTCTTGTCATTTTGTTAAACAAACTTTAGTTGCTACTTATTCTAACCATGCAGAGATTATAGCAATTTATAAGGCAAGTCATGAATGTATTTGGTTAAGAACTTTAACTCAATACATTTGCAAGAATTGTGGTCTAACTTCTAACAGGGATGTTTCAACCATACTATATGAAGATAATACAACTTGTATAACTCCATTCAAGGAAGGATTTATCAAAGGAGACAGAACCAAACATATATCACCAAAGTTTATTTTACTCATGATCTTCAAAAAGAGTGTGACATCAACATCTAGAAAATTCAATCCAGTAACAACTTTCCTAATTGGTTTACTAAAGCACTTCCTACATCGAAATTTGAAAAGATGGGACGAAACATTGTTATGCGGTGCTTCAAGAAAATCAATTGATGTGCTAATCAGGGGGAGTTGGAAACATATTGTACTCTTTTCCTTAGTTATGTTTTTCCCACTGGGTTTTCTTAACAAGGTTTTTAACGAGACAATTTTTTCCCATATCTATTATTAATCATGTACTCTTTTTCCTTAATAAATGGTTTTTCCCATGAGGTTTTACCGATTAAGGTTTCAACGAGGCATGATACAATCGTCATTCAAGGGGGAGTGTTATGCATTATTATTTAGTGAATGACTATTGGATTCTCCATCTCCCCCATTACTCTCCATAATTAGTGAACATTATAACAAACATTATTATGAGTTTTATGAGTGTAGTTATGCACCACTATAATGTGCATTCATATCATACATGACCTTTCATCTTCTTTGTTTAGTATAAATAGTGAATATTATGTATTGTAAAGTTTGATAATTTCTTCACAAGTATTGGAATAAAAGTTCTCTCTACTCTCATGTCTTTCTTTACTCTATAATTTATCTTGTTATTTGATCATATTTTATAACAATGAGTAATTTTTTAGCCCAAGTCAGTTATTGGAGTCTCTCCCTATCGTTTCTAAAAATTCAATTATTATTGTATAGAAAAATAATAAGGCTATGACAATTATGACAAAAACTGAAATCTGATTGACTAAAATCTCACCGTCTCAACCCGCATTTATAGATTAGCCCATTTATTTTAATTCTTTTTCACAAAAACTCTTGTAATTGCCAATTAATTGATATATTCAGTAGGTCCATTTGAATTCTTGTTCATAAATAGCTCGTGATCTCGGTGAACAACTTTTAATTTTAAGCTATTGATATAGTTCTTTAAAAGATTTTTTCTTTATCAATTTTACAGAATCTATTTTATTATTCGGATATAAAAAAATATTATAATATTCTTATTGCAATGTTATCCCCCTCATCCTACAATCTTGGTTCCATCTCTAAATAAGGGGTCACAATGACTACAATGAAAATTTCTTTCAAAAATGGGTAGTTTTCATTGAACAAGATTAAATATATGGTGGTTAAACCGCAAATAAAAAAAAATCAAAATATAGGGGATTTTTATTTATATTTTAGTTTATTATAGCATTCTACTCTCATATTTTTCCTCTTATAGCATTGTACTTTGAAAAGCTACCCAATTGTAGCAATGACCAATTACCTCAATTCAACTTTGTGAACACTGTTATACTCATTTAGACACCTCTCATAACCTTCATGCACAAAACAAGCTTCAATTCTATTGTATAGTGTGAGCATGTTTAAAGCCACATATAGCGCTTTCTCCAGACTACAAACTTTCTCTTCTTCTCCTTTCTTTATGAATCCCTAGGTTGTGCAAACACTTCTTCATGCTTTCCATGAAGAAAAACACTTTTCACATTGAGTTGAAAAACCTCCCAACTAAACTGAGGAGTCATTGCAAGTACAACACGAATGGCGTCAAGTTTTGCAACAAGATCAAAGACTTCCCCAAGTTATGATTTGTCAGGCAAGTGTAAATTGATTCCATGTGATTGGCAAAACTCATTTGAGTTGAAGTCACCACTCCTATATGTTCTTAAGTAAGTTATAAGTGTAGGTTGTAACTATATCCTTTTCAACACTAGCCTTGTAATTTCTAAATGTAAGAAAAAGTTTTGACTTCTCATATAAGAAAAAGACCCAAGTTTTATAAGTAACATCATTAATGAAACTCAAAATATACCTATTGAAATTATTCAAAGCTTCCACATCTCCCTACGATTGGTTGAAACATTCTTTTGGAAGGATTTAGAATTTAACAAAGGAATTGGAATTCAACGGATTTTGAAATTAAAGGAATTAAAATCCTATCATCTGTTCGGTTAAGAAAAAAAACATATGGTATTCGAACTAGTATTTTTGTAAATTACAAATTTATCCTTTTAAAAGCTTTCTACCACATAAATCGACCCTGAAAAGCTGTTGGATTTGACCAGAAAATAGTATCCCCTGTTTTAATATCATCCAAACTCCATTCTCATTTAGCATGCAGCTCAATTTATCTTCTTGATCAAAACAAAACTCCATTTTCCGTATTAATTAAGCAACTTCAAAACATACATAAGTGAAATTAACATAAATTTGCCAATACATCAGTTAAAAGCCCTTACAAAACAGGCTTTTTACTTTTCAAGCCTACACTATAATTGGGTAGATTCATCAAACTACAATGAAAGTAAGAAATTATAATAAACAAACAAATAAAACCATGTTCCTATTACATGCATTTAACCCTCAACAATATATCAAACCCATACATATAAAACAAAAAGAGGGACTCTTAGTTATATGATTCATCACTTTCGCTACAAAATGTGTGCACATTAGATTAGCACCAAAAAAGCGTGTCACGTGCCAGTTTTTACATAATATCGTGTATAACAAAAGCGATTCAAAAGTTTTTTTTTAAAAAAAACATAACTTTCTATTATATGTATCTCACCTTCGATACTGATTACCTCTAGCCCTATAATCATCATATTGAAGTCTAGCACTTTTGTAAGTTGATGTATACTGTTGAGAACCTTCCCTTTTTAGGGAACCAACTTTAGAATCCCAACCACTTCCATTATATTGCCCTCTACCAAAATTACCCCTGTTATATCCCCTTTGTGTTCCTTGTGAAGTGCCAACATATGCATTGTGTTCATGTCTTTGAGTATTTCTATTATTTCCCCAAGAGTTTTTAGAATTATCATCTACCCTTTTCCATGACTTATTTGCTCCATTTCCACATGTCATCATGTCATTGTGCCATGAGCCACTCACACCACCACCACCCCATCCATAATCCTTTATTTCTCTATCTTCTTGAGTAACTCCTCTCTCCCAAGGATCTATATTTTTATTTACAGAGTTATTAAAAGAATCCCAACCGTTGATTTTATCATTTTTACTACGTTCCCAAGGATTCTCACTACCTTTATTCAATTCATTCAATCCTATAATACATCCAGGGACGAAAACGTCATTGTTGCTCCTAATCCCATCAAGAGTTTCAACTTTTTGTGGCTCATCAGGGTTGAAATATGCTCGATCCAAATCCTTGATTAATTCAAGATCAATCTCAGGATTCCAATCAATGTCATGGTTATACATGTCTGGATCAGGATTAGGTTGAGATTTGTCAATTGGGATTTCGTTAATTTTTGCCCAAAATCGGTTCTTGGCTTCAGAAAATGATGCTTCACCAGCTGAATCATTCCAGTTTATCACATTGTCATAGCAGTTCATGTAGTTTTTAGCATTCACAATCTTTTCCCATGGGATTCCTACTGAAAGGCAGAATCTTTTTTCCCATGGTAGCTCCTCATTCTTCCAAGCTCCTGTTGAGAGAATTATCATTATGTATTGGTGTTTACCTTTGAGTAAAAGGTGAGACAAATGATGCACAAAAAGGGAATACATATCAAAATGTGACTTTATGAATTGTCAAGCATTAACATTTTTAGATGTTTGTATATTACGGGATAGATGCGTAGTGTTTCATGTTTTAAATTTTTTGAAAGAAAGGATGTTGATGTAAAATCATGTATTGCATTCCATGATTCTGTAAGATGTTAAATGAAGCATGATTTCATGATGTCTTTAATCAATTAGTGACTGAATCAACAGCATTTGACACCTTTATGAACTAATCTTGCATTGTGTTACCAAGTCCTTTAAGCAAACCCTAGGCTCATCTTACTTGCAAACCCTAGAAAACCTATATGGTAAATCAATTATCGTACATTATGCATTCAAGTACGCCGATTAGGTTATTGTCACCCAATAAATCCTCACACTAGCAAATAACCACTCAATTTATCATTTTTCAGCGATAACTGAATTCAATCGAGTGCCTTTCTCTCAATTTAGTCATTTGAAACTCTCATAATAATGTATTCTCGTGAGTTAAAACCCTAAACCCCTAATTCTTGATCAGTTGATTGCAAATCTATAAACCAAGACACAAATTTAAATCTTGATCAACACATTAACGATTAATACCATGAAGCGTGAGGATGAAGAACATTGTTGAAACTACAAAAAAAAATTGATCTTCATACACATAATTCCAATAACATAAGTCGACAAAATACACCCAAGATAATGCATGAAAGGAGAAAAATCAAAGGAAAGATCCTGCATCAAGATCAGACTGGTGAAAGAATAGATGAATTACCACGAAATTTAAACTCGGTATCGTAATATGTAGGGGGCGATGGTATTCTTTGATCGCGATAATAATTCTTCGGAGTCCATCTCCTTCGAAAATTCCACTTACCCATTTTTGTTTTTATTTGAGATTGTTCAAAGAAGGGGTTCGCCTGATGAAAAAGGGTACAGAAAAGGTTTGCATAAAACAGTAGAGCAAGAAAAGCACAAAAGAGGGAAGGGGAAAACCATCGACTATATATCTTTAGGTAATTTGGGAAATAACTTGGTAATTAAGTGTTCTCTAGTATTCAATTGGTCATTTTTTTATTATTATTATTATCTCATTTACCATTGAATTTGTAGTATGTGTTTACATAAACCATTGAAACTGGCTATTGAAGATTTTCGGTAATTTCTTATCTCTGACAACTCTCCGGTCGTCTTCTCCGGCAAACCTCCGGCAAAAAAAAGATTTTCGACGGATCCTTGGGTCTCGATTTGATGACTTATAGCAGCAGCAAGAGGTGGTAATGGTGGTTTACCGGTGGCAAAACGGAGGTGGCAGGTGGGTTCCGATGATGGCAGGAGAAGGTGGCAGGTAGCTTGCTGTCTGCGTCCCTTCTTCCTTTTTTGGCAGCAAATCGACGGTAGGGAGAGAGGGGAGGGTGGAGAAAGCTAAGCAACAACACCGGCGATGGATGCCGCTTGGATGGCAGTCGAGAAAAGTCCGACGGAAAAACTCATTTTTGCCGGAGGCTCGCCGGAGAAGACGACCGGAGAGTTGCCGAAGATAAGAAATTGTCGGAAACCTTCAATAGCCGGTTTCAATGGTTTCTGTGAACACCTATGACAAGTTCAATGGTAAATGAGATAAAAACAAAAAATAATAAAAAAAAAAGTGACCAATTAAGTACAAAGGTAATAATTAATTACCCAAATAAGTCATTTCCCCTTTCTTTACTATTCACCGATTTTAGTTTTTAGTCGATAATAAAGTATTTTTGCAAAAGTCAAAAACTAGTTGGGATAGGGACTTAAAAATGTTACGAAGTTTCAAATATATATATATATATATATATATATATATATATATATATATATATATATATATATATATATATATATATATATAAGACTATTACCATTTTTTTAGTATACAAAATCTCATTTTATCGGCTATTGTAGGATATCCGGTTTCCAAATGTTCAAAAAATAACATTGTTGTTTTTTTAGTACAAAAAAATACTATTAATGTTACTATTTGTACATAGAATACTAGCGAAGTACACATGTATTCAAATAAAACATTGTGGTAACCAGGTACTTCAGGTACATGGAAAAATATCTTAAAAGTGTAACAAAGTTTCCAAAATGTTCAAAAAATACCACACTTTTTGTTAATTACGTTGTTGTCGGATTATGTAGAACAAAATCACCGGGGATCATGAATCGTCATATCAGTTCAAACAATTGTGCAAATCTTTTTCATTCCTTCACTCGATCGTTCTTGTAGTAACAAGAGAAGTAAGTGGATAATAACATTAGGTAACCATTCTTGCTTCCCGATCACATTTATACCTCAAACCTAAAACATATATACGTTATATAGATGCACATATTATACATCAAGGTTACCGTTGCGACACAAGAGAGACACAAAGGAGAAACGGGTGTAACATTATGTCATGAGAATTCCTAAATATGGATTTAGATAAAACTGATCAAGTGATCGAATGAAAGAGAGTACACAACTAGTGTGAACTGGTACGACGGTGACTAATCTCCGATGACCGTGTTTTATACAATTCGTAAACAACAAAGATAACAAAAAATGCTCTGGAAAATAACAATGTTTTTTTTTTTAACTTTTTGGAAATTTCAATGGTATTTTTTGTACTAAAATATGTACTTCGTAGGTATTTTGTATACAAATGATATACTTCAAAGGTATTTTTATATTAAAAAAGTAATTATATTTTTTGAACATTTTGAAAACTTTATTATATTTTTAAGTCATTTTTCCGTTTACCTAAGATAACATGTTATCATAAGGTTTTATTTGAACACATGTGTATTTCGTTGGTATTTTGTGTACAAGAAATATACTTTAATTGTATTTTGTGTACTAAAAAAAAGATAATGGTCTTTTTTAGACATTTTTAAAACTCTATTATCTTTTTAAGTCATTATCCCAAACTAGTTCGGTTCAACAAAACAAAACCATTGAAGTAATGATCCTATAGGCTTTAATCCAACCGTGACCTAGATAATCGGTTAAATTTGTTTTACTAATCTCCATGAACGATTGAAAATAAGGAAAAACTCGGTTAAATCTTTTTTACCAATCTCCATGAACGATTAAAAATAAGAAAATTGAATAATCTAACTATTTTTTTGGGTTTTCTTATAAAACATAACTGAGTTTTTTTTTAAATAACCCTTTGGTCCGAAATGGGTTATTCTGGACCCGAAAACCGGTTCAAACCCAATGGTTTAGCCTAATGGTATATATATGTAGGTCCCACACACAAAAAAAAATCTGGAATACACATTCTGAAATTAGCATATTCGAATCACTATCTACCTGCATTTCAGACTAAATTTTCAGTATGGATTCGTCAAACCAAGTAAGTTCTGCACTTTAACTTACTTTGCATTTGATTTTCTGAAACAAATTAGGTATTCCGGAATAGTCTGGAATGGTCCGGAACACGAGAACAACTCTGGAACAACTACAGGATATCTGGAATATCTTTTTTTTTTTTTTTTTTTTTTTATCTTTTTTTCATCGTACGTATATGAATGTTATGTAAGTACTTTGTAATGTGTTTTTGATCGATTGTTTTACTCTGGAATTAGGTATTGTAAAGGTTTCAGAATGGTAATATAGGTCTGGAACATGATGAACGTTGTCTGGAATCTGATGATCTGTTCCGAAATGATGATCCGGAATACTTATAATACACAATTTTTTTTTTGTAAGTATTGTTTAATAACTCATGTTAGTCGAAAGATGAGTAACGTGGATGTTGTTAAAAAAAAGTGGGTTTTATGAACGACAAAGTTGTATTCCATTTACAGGAGTTTTCAGAATTGCGCCCGATAAAGGTAAAATCGAAAACAATAATTTTATAATTCTAACTTATTTTTATGGCAATGTATTAAAAAGTTCTTGGAATTTTTTTTACAGATAGAAAATGATGATGCTGAGTTTCAAAATAAGATACAAAATAACCAACAAAGACACCCATAAAATTAAGAAAGAAATCAGAAATAGTATTAAAACTTAAGTTGAAAGCAGATAGGACTCCGAAAGATAGCATCAGAGCAAGTGTAGACAAACCGGTTATGATAAACTGGTTGCAATTATGGTTTTTTTCTTTTTTTTTTTTTTTTTTTGTTATGGATATGTTTTAGGAAGTGTTTATTATTATTATTATTATTATTATTATCATTATTATTATTATTATTATTAAATAGCACATTGGTTTTTAAATAGTATATTAATATAATTTAGGTATATTCTGTTTTCAGTCTCCAACATCCAGTGACTTGAACAATCAGGATGAGTTGCTTATAGAGTGTGATATACGACGTCTTGAAGATGAGCAATGACATCTTGTTTATACGACTGCATTATAAATGATTTGTGATTATCAATGTGCTAAACAACGAACGGTAATACTGGAATCCCCATTACCACCTTCACCGGCTAAGTACCGGAGAAAAGTAACATTGTATAACACGCAAATGCTCCTTATAACACGCGGGAGCTGGTTAACGGATGTTACTAATGCCTTCCGCACCAGCAGTTTCCCCAAGGGGGCAAAAGGTCAGACTTGCTTCTTGTCTTTTGAAGGACATGGCACAGGATTGGTGGGAGGAGGTGGGATGTGCAGCTAGTGACCATGTTGTTGATACGATGACGTGGGATGATTTCGTAATCAGGTTTAAGGCTGAGTTTGCACCAGTGATTGAGGTGTAGCAGTTGGCACGGGAGTTTCAGGATCTTCACCGGACTACTAGGACGGTGGCTGAGATCACCATGATGTTTTGAGAGAGGACACTTTTGGTTCCGCGTTATGTGGAGGATAAGAAGATGAAGAAAGCGAGGTACACGAGACGTTGAGGAGAGATATTCGGCAGTTTATGAGCCGATCCAGCTGCAGGACGCTGGAGGATATGATAGCAAGGGCTGGGGAGAGGGAAATTGATCTCGAGATGGAAAGGAAGAGGAATCCGGATGAGACTCTGGTATTTGGAGGTTTTGGAAAGAGGCCCAGGGTTGTTGATGTGAGAGAGAAGGGCCATCAGAGTCGGGGCCGATGTGGCAAGTGCGGCAGGATGCACGATGGGGCCCGACAGGTCACCTTAGCAGGGATTACACTACTACCACGACCACCACCCTGATATTTGAACTGATTTCCTTTCATTTCAATTAGAGGGGCCACATGAAGGCCCATTGTCCAAGTTTGGCTGCAGCAGGACCGGTGTCAACACCCACTCCTGCAACACTTCGAACACTGATGGCCGCTAGGGCTGGGCGGATGCACATGTGGTGAAAAGCAGGGATTTTTAGTTGACGGTCGAGGAGGCTCGCGCGGCACCTGATGTGGTGACGGGTATGCATCTTCTCCTTATCTCTTTATTTATATTTATTTGTCTACTTATATTTATGTGTTTTATCTTAGGATCGTTCCTTGTGAATGATATTTCTGCTTTGGTGTTGTATGATTTGGGGGCTACCCGATCCTTTGTGTATCGCTTGTACTTAGCAAAAGGTTTGATAGAGCTCCGCGGGAGTTGGATTATCCATTAGATGTCGAGATCACATATGATAGATATGTTCAGGTTGCGAGAGTTCATTGAGGTTATGCTCTTCATTTGTTCCGTGAGGAGTATTCGATTGATATGGTTCCCATCCATTTGCATGGGAACAAGGTTATTGTGGGTATGGATTGGCTGAGCCCCAATAGGGAGGTGATCGATTGTGAGCAAAAATTAGTCCAAATTCGAACCCCAAGTAGGGGAGAGTTAATGGTTTAGGGAGAGAGAGCTTAGAGTGGACCGATGTTGTGTTCAACAACGAGGGCCATGCACTATATTCAGTAGGGTTGTTCAGGATTTGTTGCCAATGTTATGGATACCTGAGATAAGGGTAAGGCGATTGTGAATAATTTGTCGATTGTGCGGGATTATCCTAATGTGTTTCCATAGGATTTTCCTCGGGTGCCTCAGGAGAGGCAGGTTGAG